TGCAGTCCTTCATTGTGTGTAGGTGCCAGAGTTTTCTAATCAACTAGTCTATCGATGGACATTTAGGTTGTTTCCAATTCTTTGTGATTGTGAATTGTGCCACAATAATCGTTGGAGTGCAGACTACTGGCCATGGTCTATTTCTTACCTCTTCAGGGTATAGGCCCAGTAAAGGGGTTGCTGGGTTGAAGGTAAATCAATTTCCATTTGCTTTAAATATCGCCAGATGGCTTACCACAGTGGCTGTATTTATCTACACAACTACCCCGCAGAGGAGGAGAGTTCCTATCTTGCCACATCCCCGCCAAAATGTGTTGCTCTCAGATTTTTCTGATTTGGGCTATCCTTAAGGGTGTTATGTGGTATCTCATAGTAGTTTTAATATGCATTTCTCTCATAGCTAATGATCATAAACATTTTCTCATATGTTTATTAGCCATTCAGGTCTCCTCCCTAGCTAAACTTCTGCTCAGATTTTTTGCCCACTTCTTCAGGGGTTTAACTGTTTTCTTCTTTTTGTAGGCTATGTGGGTATTGCATATTTTAGTAATAAGTCCTTTATCTGTTGTCTCATTGCTAAAAAATCCTCTCCTAGTGTGTGGTTTTTCTTGTTACTCTCTTGGTGGTCTTTCCATGCACACAGGTGTTTTATCATTAGTATATCCCATTTGTTGACATCAGCTTCATCTGTCTGTTCACCCTTCCCTATCTCAGTTAGCCTATGTATTCCCTGTTCCAAGGTGTTAGGTTTGTCCCTGTACCTTCATTGATGGTCCTGATAATTTGGAGTTTCACTTCTAGGTCTGTGATCCACCTAGAGTTTGTTCTTGTGCATGGATTGAGGGAGGGGTCTTGTTTTATTTTTCTACAGGTGGATATCAACTGCTTCCAGCACCACTTGTTGAAGAGGACATCTACCTCACATGTGATGCTTTGGGGCCCATGTGGAAGATCAGTCATCTATATGCTGCTGGTTTTATTTCTGTGTTTCTGTTCCTTTCAATTGGCCTGAGTATCTGTCATTATTCCAGTACCACAGAGTTATGACCACTGTGGCTGTATAGTAGGTGTTAAAATCAGGTAAGGCAAGCCCTCCGACTTTATCCTTCTTATTGAGGAGTTCTCTCCTAATTCTGGGTTTCTTCCCTCCATGTCAAGTTGGTGGTCAGTTTTTCCCATTCTTTGAAGAAGGTTCTTGGTATTTGAATTGGGATAGCATTTGTTAGTGTTCTCTAGAGAAACAAAACCAGGACACTTAGACTATATGTATAGGTTTATACAGCACGAAGGAATATAACTGCTAATCAGTCCACACAGCAGTATAGAGGGCTCAATTCAACTTACTTCTGTGGAACAGTTAATATCCTGGAAGTTCTTCAACTCACGAGGGCTGGTGGGTCAAAGGTAAAGGAAGCAGACAGCTGAGTCTTCCCTCATGCAATGCAGGCAGGCAGAGTCTGCCCACAGGCAGAAAACAGCAGGCCAGGTGACCAACAGTTGGCAGTTCAGGAGTTTATTGAAGCAGGCCCAGATAGGATATTAAACTCAAGCAATTCAAGACAACAGGATCCACCAGGCTCAAGCTTAAGCAATGTACACACCAGCAGCATGCTGAAGGAGGTATTGAAGGGAACTAAAGCTCTAGTGACATGATCCACAGGTTGGCTTGTCCCACAGGTAGTGTAGCTCACAAGTTGAGGCAAAGAACTAGCTAAAGCAGCCGCATGCTGGTTCAATCACCAGAGAGCTAGAGAGAGAGGGATGGGCCTTGCCAAGCCATTTATCTCTTTGCCCTCCAAGGAAATGGCAACCTGACTAATCCCATATGCTCCCATTGGCCAGGATGGCATAATAAACCTGCTCATCACAACATTAAACTTGTCCTGGGTAAGATTGACATCTTGATTATATTGAGTCTTCTGATCTATGAACATGGGGTATTCTTCCATTTGTGGAGGTCATTTTTGGATTCCTGTGCTAAGGTTCTGTAGTTTTTCTTGTAGAAGTCTAGAAGTCTATTGTTTTTTGGGCTTAGATATATCCCTTGATATTTCTATTTATTTTAGGCTATTGTGAAGGGTATTGCCTTCTTGATTTTCTCTTCCAATGTATATAGCAAACGAATAGACTTCTGCTTGTTGATCTTGTATCCTGCCAATCTTCCATATTCCTGTATTCCTGCTAGTACTACTGTTGTGGAACTTTTGGGATTTTCAATGTATAGAATCATGTCGTCTGCAAATAGTGATAGTTTCGCCGCCTCCTCTCCCAGTCAGATACCTTTAATGTTTTTCCGCTGCCTTATGTTGTTAGCTAAATCCTCCAGTATGATGTCGAAAAGAAGTTGGGACAAGGAATATCGTTATTTTGTACCCCTTTTCAGTGGGATTATTTTCATCTTTTCTCCATTTTGGCTATTGGCTTTTTGTAAAAAGCTTGTATGAATTTGAAGAATGTTCCTTCTATTCCTATCTTCTTGAGTGTCTTAATTAGGAATGGGTGCTAGATGTATTAAATGCTTTTTCAGTGTCTATCGATATTATCATGTGATTTTTATCATTTTTCTTATCAATGTGACAAATAATATTGATGGACTTGCGAATGTAAAACCACCCCTGCATCCCTGGAATGAATCCCACCTGATCATGATGGATGATATGTTTTATATACTTTTATATTCTATTGGCCAATATTTTGTTAAGGATTTTTGCATCTATGTTCTTTAGAGATATTGGTCTGTAGTTTTCTATTCTTATGGAATCCTTGCCTTGTTTGGGTTTCCAAGTTATACTGGTTTTGTAGAATCAGTTTGGGAGTTTGCCATCTTTGTCTATACTCTGGAATAATTTGTGGAGGATTGGTGTAAGCTCTTCCCTGAATGCTCTCTAGAATTCTCCCGTGAAGCCATCTGGTCTGGGAGCTTTTATTGTTCGTAGTTTCTTGATAACCATATCTATTTCTTCTTTTGCTATAGATCTGTGGAGGTTCTTGACTTTTATCTTGGACAATCTAGAGAGGGATTGTTTTTCCAAGTATTTGTCAATGTCTGCCACATTGTTGAATTCATTAGAATGCAGACTTTCATTGTTGAATTCATTAACAGGCAGTACTTTGTGATTCTCCTTTTCATTTCATTGGGGTCCGTTATGATTTCCCCTTTTTCATTGCTCATCCTGGCTATTGATGTTTCCTCCTTCTTTTCCTTGGTTAGGTCTACCAGTTGTCTGTCATTTCTATTGACCCTTTCAAAGAACCAGCTTTTTGCTGCATTGATTTTTTTGCAATGTCTCTTGTTTCCCACTTGTTTAACTCCGCTCTGACTTTTATTAATTCTTTTCTTTTGCTATTGGGTGGGTTGTTCTATTGACTCTGTTATAGCTGCTGGAGACCTTGTGATAACGTATCAGTCATAAGTCTCCTTCCTTTTTCATATATGCATTAATAGCTATCAAAGTTCCTCTGATAACTTATTTTGCTGTATCCCATAGGTTGGGGTTCAATGTATTGTCATTCTCATTAGTTTCTAGAAACTTCCAAATTTCCCCTCTAATCTGGGCCAGTACCCACTCATGTCACAGATCATTATTCATCCTCCAGTTGTATAAAGTTATGAAGAAAATCACGCTTACCCTAAGCCTAAGCTTATCTTCATACATTTTTTTCTATTTTCATTTTATTTCATACTACCATGAGCCACAAAAATTTACCCCAGGGCTTCATGTGGCCTGCAGGCCACCAGTGTGACACCCCTGGGATAGAGTAGCACTGTGCCTTGGGGTGTCTGACACTAACTCTTTGCAAAGCCAGCAGCCTCCAGTTTTCTCTTTTGGAAACGCAGGTGGGGTTGCAGCTCTCCACCCAGTTGTGAGCTGCCCGTTGCTGAGTCCACAGCACACACAGGGCCCCCTTGTTCGAGGTCCAAACCCAGACCAGAAGATTGTAGTAGGAAAATAGAAAAGACTTAAGGAGGTAGATATTTTACTGATCTCTTTTTTGATGTTTTTAAAAACCTATACAAAACCTCATTGCCACAGACAGGACCGTATTGGACAGGGTAGAGCTATTCCTGTGGCTTTCCCAGACCCTAACTCTTCATGGGAGTAGAAGGCTCTGTCTTTCTCTCATAGAGAGGCTGGTGGCTTCCAACTCTTGACCTATAGGATCACAGCAGAATTCCTAACTAGTCCGCAACCAGAGCGACAAGAAGTCTGGAATCTGCTGAAATAGAATCAGTCCCAGTAGTACAAGTTGAAGGGAAAGGTCAGATCTTTGCAGAGCAGATTGCTCAAAGATCTCATTTGACTCTGGATACAAATAATAAATGAAGCTTTGCTTTCATTTAAGGTGACTAGTATTTAAATTATATAAATGGGAGAGAGTAATAGAAACTCTGCTTTTGTCAGAAATGTGCGTGCTATTTGCGAGCTCCCTTTGTAGTTCCCCACTGCTCTGAGGTCACTGCCTCCTTTAAAGAATTCCCCCTCCCAGCCCCCAATTGCTTCCTCTTCTGCCCACAAGTAAAGGTCCGTTATAAATGTTGTTCTAAACAGCTGAGGAACTCCACACCTGGCATCCGCTCCAGGGGCTGTAAGCTGCACAGCCTCCTGACTGGGTGGGGCCATGTTGGGCTGCTGTCTCCTGGGCAGTCATACACAGGGCCACTGCCAAGATCCTCAGATTGCACTCTCTGCCCCTAAAATAGACAAGGTTGAAGTCTCTCAGTGCCTGAGCCTAGTAATGGAGATGAAGACGCTGGTGAGCAGATTTGAGGAGTGGGTGGGGGTGGAGGGGCAACAATCTCCTGCTGTGATCCTCTAGTGGTGGGAGAGACCTGCTAGATTCTCTGAGTGTGGCTTTCAATTTTCATTCAGTGTTTATTCATGCAGGACTTATTCTTTTAAAACAGAGAGGCTAGTACAATTATCTGTCTGTATGTCTCAGAGTGGTAAAATGATTTCCCCTCTCTCACAAACCTAGTATATATAATATATATAAATATAAGCTTTGTGCAGTAGCAATATTGTAACCAGTGAGGTTTATCTGAGGCATGATTATTGCTAATTGAAAACTTTTTCCCAATTTTATATATATATATACATGTACATATATATATGGCAAATATATTCTGAGGCATTGACCTTAGTTACCATCAACAGGCAGCCTCCTTGTGTACAGACCAATGTACTTGTTTTCTGGCAGTAAAACCTTCAGTTACTCTCCATAGACTAGAGGGAAAACCTGTACAAAATAAAAGTACTCCTATCTGCATATATCATAGCAAGGCTTTCCTCCTCATTTCCTTTGCTTCAATCAGCGTGCTTTTGTTTATGAGATGTTGCTTCCTGATATGTCACACAATGAGATAATCTCCTGGCATGCCTTTACATCCTCACTTTTCTTAAAATACAGATTTTATTACAAGACTAAGATCCAACGCATGCTTGTTTTCTCAAATAGATGACGGATGGACGGACGGATGGATGGGTGGGTGGGTGGGTGGATGGATGAATGGATGGGTGGGTGGGTGGGTGGATGGATGATTGGATGGATGGGTGGGTGGATGGATGGATGGCTAGATAGGGATGTAATTAAGTAGACCTAGGATGCTATTAGCTCCCTCAAGATTTGTCTTATCTGAAAGAGTGTGAGTATTCACAGCAGAGTCTGATGGAACATTTTGTGATTTTCTGCATAATGGACCTTCACCCATTAGGGGCCTTTGCAAAGCTCCCAGTGACTTTTTAAAGCTCTAACATGTGGTCAGGGCTTCTATGCAAACAAAAGTTAGTGGCTAGGTTTTCCCCTCAGTAAAATATCCTGTCACTCAAACCCACAGTAGTAATATTAAATGGCTCAGAGGAGGGAGGCTGCTAGGCATCTTTTCCTAAAACTTCTTTATTTGAGAAAAACCCTCCCTCTGAGGTGATAATGGGATCTGTTCCTTTTCCTTTTGGGAACCGATTTTACTCTCTCTCTCTCTCTCATTATCAAAGATAAGAGCTCTCAAGCAGGTCTTCATGTCTTGAGCCATGAGGTGAAAAGGTGATTGGTCCTTAAGGGGGAAGGAGAAGAAAGACTTCCAGCAGCTAGAGCAGCGTGGAGATGACTATGTGGTAGAAATCCCAACATCCACGGTGACAGGGGCTTTCCTTCCTCTGGGACAGGTGCTTGGGGAGACGTTTGAGAGGGAAATATCATATATTACAGGAATTTAGGAATGATAAGGAATGAAGGGTTCACTACCTAGAATATTAAGTAGGTGTGTTCTGTGAGCATACCGTATATACTCGAGCATATGCCAACCCGAATAGCCACTGAGGCAGCTAATTTTACCATAAAAACTGCATTAAAAATGTGCTGAAAAATCTCATCATATACTCAAGTATATATGGTATTTATTGTTATGTATATTCAAGGGGGCTTCAAATGTATGGGGAAATAATCTTATTTTTAAATTCCATTTCACATTAATTGTTTGAAGTCCTCTAATGTGTGGGGGTGAAGCTATGGGCATGGTGGTGTGAGAGTGAACCCTGATTTTGCTGGCACCACCGAGACCAAGCACACTTTATGAGTCTTTATATGTCCCGAGACTTCCCCTGACTTCAGTAGCTTATTGTTAATCTATTTTTCTCATTGAGTGTAGCTCTGAAAGACTCTAGATCATGATCACTTCTAACCTGTACAGCAGAACATACACTCCTCAGACAGTACTCATGTCAATAGGAAAAGTGGAAATACAGGGGGCTTCTATCACATGGATTGCATGAGAGTATGCTTTGACCTGACGGAGAATGAGCACAGATCTTTTAGGAATCCAGCAGGAAGAAGATGCTCTAGAGAAGTTTCTAGGAAGAAGATACCTAGAAGTTGTTACTTTGTATTTATGAAATGGTACAGACTAGTAGCCAGATTAGGGGAGAAAGGTGGGCAAAGTACGTCAATTATCAGTGGCCTACATTGATCCCTTCCCTGCATTTAAAATACATTGAGCAGATGACTTTGCAAGAAGGGCACATTCATATATGTCCATTTCTTTCCATTTTAATGTGAATCATACTGCATTTGGAAGTGTTTAATGCTTTTACAGAATCAACTTTAATTTTTATACTTCAGTTATTACATGAGAGGTTTATTATGAGTAAAACACCAAGAAAAGCATGTTTTGGAAACTGCGCATCCATTCTTGGACAGTAGTCTTTTGAGTTCACCTTAGTAAATATGCATAACCTAGTTTGATGATGATTATCTGCATAGGTATGCATAAGCCCAAAGGATTGGGATAGAGGTAGTAAGATCCCAAAGATGAACTAATTCACTTTATTGGTTTTTGTTTTTACAAGCTGGGAGGTAAATTCTCAGAGCGTGTGAATCATGGTGTGAGAGCTAAGAACAAGAGAGAGACCCAAGAATCCAACCAGAATTAGAAGTTGAGCACAGAAGATAGCAAATGTTCAGCTATTATTTACCCACCCAGGACCTAAGTTAATAATTCAATGTGGGAAATGCAACTTCTTCATCGGGAGAAGAAATACTCCAAGTGTTAGTGAAGATGCTCTCATCAAATTTCATGGAATTCTCACTGCACTTTGTTCTTCAGCCCCTCCTGCTCTGCATGTGCATACAAGGATCTGGTAAGTTCATTTATTTATTTTCCTCTCAGGTGCATTCACCTAAATTTGGGAACATGGGGCAAATAGACTAATGGCTATTATCTGCATTGTGTTCAGACTTTGATACAGAGATTGTAACAAGGGCATGAGTCAAATGAATAACTGTGAGGGGGTTCAGGGACCAGCAGGGCTGCCTTCTGTTGGGTAGAACATCCCTGTGAGCAGAAATTGACTATACACCTAACAACTACAAGTTTTCAATGGCATCTGTAACTTTGTTCTTTGATCTCTCACTTGGCATATAGTTAACATTTCTCAAGCTCACACAATACTTCATAAAACAAATCAGACAGAGAAGGATCCTTTGGATCAGAAGGGTCATACACGCTCAATGACCTGCTCACAGGCTTTTATTACTTACAGAAATCATGAGGGTGAGATAAATGGAGTAGGACTTATCAAGAACCAAGTTCACACAAAAGTCTCCCTATGAGCGGAAAAAAGTTTCAACCACTCCTGTGCAAGCCCCTGAAAACATTGGGTGCATGGTAAAGAAGGGGACTCGGTGCTGAAGTCTGGATATCATAAACCGAGGGGTGGATTTGCGGGATTCCAAGGGAAAAGCAGAACACCCCTTGTCTGACGACCCTGTTAGGAGGGGGCATCGTTTGCTCAGCTCCACTCTGCAAATTCAGAAAAAGTATTTCTTCCCCTCTAGCTACAAGATTAATTTTATAGGCCTACACTTTCTGATTAATGATAAAATACCAAGAGATCCCTTCCCAAAGGGCACATTCTTTGATGTTACGATAATTACGATCTAATGGGGTTGACCTTGTGCATGGAGGGCATGAGCCAGAGATGGAGAAAGTCGCTGTGAGCTCAGAAGGGCAGGGTGACTTTGGGGATGAGAAATGACTGCGAGGGAGAGAGACCCAATTGCCAACCTCCTTATCAAAAACATTCTGATAGCAAATGAGAGAAATCAAATCAAATGACTTAAATGGGAATTTTAGAGACAGACCATTCTCCCAACACACTGAAATGACAAATAATCCTAGATATGGCTGTGGACCCTCTAAAAACTCCCTCATCTGACAAATTCAATTCACTCTGGTTGCCCTCGGTTTTATTATTTTATTATGCCTTTAAAATATGATTATGTTATCATGCCTTTTTTTGCGCTTATCAGTGCAACTGTTTATCTCCTAAAAATTATTCTATCTAAATATAGCATTTTTAAATGTTTTAATTTTTTTCAATGATGGTTTTAAAAAAGAACTTGTTATTGTGACTTAGGTGAGGATTTATCTTACAGTGTTCACTTATGCTTTGTATATTGTGACAATTTGAATGTGCATGTAAAAAAAAATATATATATATATATATTATTCGTGCACCCACACACAAGCATGCATTGACTTATTTTAAATTTCACTTTAAATTCTTATTAGGGAATAACCTACTTAGATGCCATTCTTCATTGCATATAGTTTCACCCAAGTATGAAATGGAAGTCTTGTGAAATATGTAAGTCACTGAGTCCACATTGAAACAATGGCCAGTCTTGATGCACTATCATAGATAATATGATGGCATCTATGGTCTTGAAGAAGAAACTTAGATAATTCTTGGCTACTGTGGTAGTTACATAATCTGTTGTCTATTTGAGACTTAAGAGTGAAGGGGTGGAGTTTAGCCTGTCAATCAGATCACAGCTTGGTGAGCGCATTTGGAGACATGAAAGAGACAGATACTTCATTGGAGGCAGGACACATGCTCACTCCCTGGGGGACATTGCAACTGACAAGACACATGGAGCTGCACTACTACCCTGAGTTGAAGGTGCCATGTGGAGACCCTGCCAGCACTAAGATTCTTACACTGCCACTGGATCTACAAGACTTTTCACCAACTAGCCTCTGATCTTCCTGAATCTGGCTTCATTTCATGTGTTGAGTGAGTCTGAAGAGGAATTTATAGATGGGTTTCAGACATATGGGCTAATCACAGACTTATTAACTGATGATCTGGACTGGGCTGGGATGTTTTCTCAATATTCAATTGCTCTCATATATAAATCTCTTTCTTATACACATATGAGTATCTATGAATATGTTTCACTAGTGCACCCAGACAGACACAGCTATTATGTGTAAACTATTATATCTTATATTTATCATTTTATTATGTCTATAATCAGCAACTCCTTCATTTGCATTTTTAATCATATTCTAAATTATTATCTACTAAAATAATGTTTTATGAACAATAATTTTCCTGACTGGTTGATTTGTATTCCAATTAACTCATTCAATAAATATTTCTTGATTAACTTGTATGCTAGAAGTAATTTTAGAGACAAAGTATTCATTGCCAATAAATATTAAGGAGTTTGCTTTATATTGGGGAATAAAAGAAATAAATTATATTTATTACACACCCAGAGAGAGAAATGATATGACATAGGTAAGTGCAGGTGAGTGTGAGAATTCATTTCTCTTTCTCACTACAACTTGTTTCTTTTCCAG